GAAGACCATTTTAGCTAGCAGAAGCAGTACATGCAAAGGCCCTGAGGCAGGTGGATGCTTATTCTAAAGGAATAATGCTGAGGGCAGGGAGGCTGGAGTAGAGGGAGAGGGCAAGTCGAGGGACTGAGGTCAGGGAGGTGGCAGGGAGGCAGTTCACGTGCGGCCTTGTTGGTCATAGTACAGTCGTGAGTGAGGTGAGCAGAGGAAGGACACGATCTGACCTAAGTATAACAGGCTCACTCTGGCTGGCGTGCAGAGAACTGACTATAAGGGACAAGCGAGGGTAGAAGCAGACCAGGTGGGAGATGATGGTGGCTCGAACAGGGTGTAGCAGTGACCACGTGAGCAGTAGATAGAAAGTGGTTAGATTCCCTGCTCTTCTACTTTCTAGCTTGTGCACCTGGACAGATTACTTAACCTCTCTGAGTCTCTATTTTCTATCTGGAAAACAAGTTTGGTAATAATACTCAGCTGTTCACTTGTTACTCAACTACACAAGACATAGTATCGTGCCTGGCACATATTTGGTACTCACTCAATGCCAGCTCTTCAGTTCAGTTCAGTCACTCAGTCATGTCCGACTCTTTGTGATCCCATGGATGGCAGCAGACCAGGACTTCCTGTCCATCACCAACTCCCAGAGCTTGCTCAGACTCATGTCCATTGAGTCAGTGATGCCATCCAACCATCTCATCCTCTGTCTTCCCCTTTCCCTCCTGCCTTCCATCTTCCCCAGCATCAGGGTCTTTTCCAATGAGTCAGCTCTTTGCATCAGGTGGCCAAAGTATTGAAGTTTCAGCTTCAGCATCAGTCCTTCCAATGAACACCCAGGACTGATCTCCTTCAGGATGGACTGGTTGGATCTCCTTGCAGTCCAAGGGACTCTCAAGAGTCTTCTCCAACACCGCAGTTCCAAAGCATCAGTTCTTTGGCCAACTCTTAGTCACTTTTAAGTATTTGGTTTATTTGTCTTTAGCTGCACTGGATCTCTGCTGCTGAGCATGGGCCTTCTCTAGTTGCAGCAGGTGAGGGCTACTCTTTGTTTTGGTGCGAAGGCTTCTCATTGAAATGGTTTCTCTTGTTGGGAAGCACGGACACTAGGGACATGGGCTTCAGTAGTTGTGGTACACAGGCTTAGTTGCACCCTGGTGTGTCTTCAGACCAGTGATAGGACCCGTGACCTCTGCATTGGCAGAAGGATTCTTAAACACTAGACCACCAGGGAAGTCCCTCTTAGTCATAATTAACCCCTGGGAAGCACTGCTCTGGGAGTCACATATTCAAGGCGGAATTAACTGAGCCCAGAAAATTCGAGGAGGTCCAAGAGGCCAGCTGGATCTGGGGGAGACAGTCTCAGCTGGGCACTGTCCTCCCATTGCCTGCCTCGGTTCCCATGGCCCTGGAAGGAAGTGTCCTTCAGTCTCCTGTTTATTTGTTTGTCTTTTACTTACGTTGAAGTTTCAGCTGAGAAATCAGCCCTGCCAGTCAATGGGTCAAACATCCTGCCACCATGGGTGGGCAGCCACTCCTGCAAAGTCAGCATCGACCAAGACAATGAAGGGGAAGGGGGCAGTGGGGAGCCCACAGCCCACAGTGCTCCCTGGCAAGCCCGTGCCCCTTGGGGATGACTGTCAGAGGTAATGATGGGGGAAAGAACCTGAAGAGGAAACTCAGGTCTGGGGTGGGTGCTAGTGGCTGCAGTGTCTTCTGGACTGACCCTTTGGCTCAGGACAGGCGATAGCTATCCTAGACAAGGGATGGCTCTGAGGAGCAACTGGGGATGTTTGCTCCTGGGGACACATGTCTCCCTGAGGGACATCGGCCTGGAAGCCTGAAGCCTTGGTCTATCCCTGCTGCACCCTTGCAGTGACTCACCCTCCTATCTGTTTATTCAAAATACTGAAGTCTGCTGTGTGCCAGGGCCTGGGATTAAAAATTCTTCCTCCCACAAAGAGCATTTCTTCGGGAAAGTGAAAGTCGGATGGTGAAAACACAACTTCCGTCTATGGGGAGTCTCTAGGCTCTTACGCCCAAGGGCTGACGTTACAAAGAGTTCATCCCTGGCCCTGCAGGCCCCTCAGCCCCACAGCCCTCAGCTCCGGGAGTGGTGTATGATCTGGGGGGCCTGCCCTCATCTCTAGCTTAAAGGGGAGGAGGCCTCTGCCCCTGGCCATGGAGGTTAACCTGCATGAGGTCTTCAAGCCCCTTCCTGGGGCTAATAGCTAATGACCATTCCCCGCTTCCCTGGAGCCTCCCCTAGTGTAAGTAGCCCCTGCTGGGTCTTCATACCACCCCAGGCCTCGGATATCCTTCCAGAAGGTTCTTCTTCCTGCCATAAGCTCTGGCACGGCTAATCCAGTCCAGTGCCCAGTGGGAGGCTCAGTGCCTGCTTCTGATCCAGCCCTGGCTCCCCGAGCTGGGGACAGTGGTGGGAACAGGGCTGAAGCTCAGGGCTGGGGCCAACAGGGCCTGGGAAACTGCAAAGTCCGCGGTGGGTCAGGAGCGCCCAGCTTCTGTTTGTTGACCCTGAGTGTGGACACAGGAGAAAGCATCTCATCGCTTCCCGTGTCTCCTCCCCAGGCTGAGTGAGTTCTGCCCGCGCAGCCCCTCCTCTCCTTCCCTGGTCCCCTGTGGCCACGGACGCTGCCCCCACCTGACTATCCAGGCTTCTCCCCTTCTCATCCATTCCTCCCCAGCCCCCGCAACGCTCCCTGGCCACTCCACTTCAGGCCCACTCCAAGTGGGGCTTACATATAAATATATCCCAGCTTTTTTTGAGCTTGTTATCTACTATTTTTATCAGATGGTCCAAGCAAAGAGTGGCTGAAAAAAGGGAAAATCATACAGCTCTCTTTGCCAAGCTCCGTAGAAATAGCAACGGGGTGGGCTATTTTTAACAAGATGAATACCCCGGTCCTCTGAGGTCTCCCCTGGCCCCATACCAGCCTCCTTTGTCTCTCTGCCTGGACAGCAGATTTTAAAACACACCCAGAGTTGCCAAACCACTAAATGCACCCAAGACGGTGACTGAAGCTCTCGGAGCCCAGGAGGACCGTGGGGGGTATTTTTTCCCTTTCCCTTCCCTCCCCTGAAGGAAATCACACTCTTTTGTTTGAAAAGCCTTCCAGGTTGGTTTTCGAGGCCTTTTCCTGGTTGTCCCACTCCCACGGGAACAGCAGAGGTTACTCCGAAACATGTGGTGGTTTGGGTAGAATGACCCCAGAGGCCTGGCATGGCCCGTGGTGGCGCGTGTGCCAGGCTGTGGCAGGGCAGGGACACAGAAGGAGACTGCAGAAGCCAGGGCCTCCAGCAGGGGAGGGAGGAGACCCACGGGGGAGGCACCGGGGCCACGATGGGCCACTGTCCTTACAGCGGGCCGAGGCGCCCCTGCCCCTTGGGCTCGGCCACAACAAAGCCAGGCTGTGGAGGGTTTGAGGGTCTTCTGAGCTCCCGTTTGCCCAGGAAAGAGTCAGACTCACCCCTCATTATGGGAAAGCCACCTCTCACCCCAGAGCTGAGCCGGGGAGGGGGTGGGTGAGAATGGTGTTCAGGAGTGGGGAGACTTAGGGAGGGAGGAAGTCACAGCCTCTCTCCAGGCCCCGGTGTGCCCCAGTGTCCCCCGGTGAACCACGAGGGACCTGACTAGTCTGGCAGTCTGGGGTGTGTGGCTGGCAAGGAAAAAGAAAACAGAAACAAAAGGTAACATTCACCCATTCACCAAGGACTTTGGGAGTCACTGAATGAAACACTATGTCATGTGTGTTACCATCTCCCTTTATTTCCACCACTACACTATTACTGAGGCATACAGAGCATCTCTCTGGCCTAGAGGTTGTGTATGAAATCCAGAGGAGACCTTGGATTATATACTTATCCCGGAACCCATCATTCTGGCCAAGGGGATGGGATTCTGTGAGCGGCCATCTCTGGTCCCCGACCTTCCCTGCAGCCAGGAGCATGGTTACAACGATGGGCTGTGCTGCCAGAACTACAAGTAACAGGGGTACTAAGCTGCTCCCACCAGATGCAGCTAGAGAGGGGGTTGGGAGTCTGGGTAGAGAGCCCGGCAGCGCCCCCTATGGTTAGTGCAGCCAGACACTGGCTCCAGACAGCTCAATCCCATGCCTTCCTACTGACCTTGACCGGAGAGCTGTTCTGCTAGAAGTCAGGGCAAAAGGAAAGAGGGGTGGATCTCGGGTGGGAGGAGGTGAAGGGGACCCTGGTGGGACTCTACAGGCCATGCTCTGTCTAGTCTCCAGTCCTTCGCAGAGCTGTTCTTTTTAGTAGCAACACCCTCCCCCACCCTTGCCTTCTCCATCTCATAAGCCCCAACATGATTCTCAAGACTCATCTCAATGGCCTTCCTCTGAGAAGACCTCTCCCCTTTGTGGGCAGGATGGGGTCTCTGGAGCCTCTAAAAGATGCCTCTACCCAGCCCTTCATCTCCAGCATATGGTAACTGCTGCCACTTGCTTTCCTGGGGAAGGGACCAAGGCCTTCTGGTTCCCCCAGGCCAGCACAGCGTAGGAGTGCGGAAGGTGTCTGCCGAGTGGACAGCAGGGAAACAGAGGAATGGGGAGTGAAGAGGGAAAATGAGGAGCAAAGAATGGGTGGGGGTGGAGGGACAGTGGATCAAGAGCAATCACAGGCCAGGGCCTGGTGGCTGGTGGGGCACAATAGGAGGGGAGGAGAGGGCTTTGTGATGGGCCCGGAGCACAGGTGGATTCCCCTGCCCTGGAGGCTCTGGCAGAAGTGCCCTCCTGAAGGGCTGGTGTCATAAGTGGGAAGAGGCCACCTGCCTACTTATGCAGTCGCGTCTGTTGCTAGCCTGCTGTCTGACTGGCACTGCATTGGGCACAGGGCCCCTCTTCTCTGCTGGCTGCCCTGGAAGGGCGATCAGAGTGACAGGGAGCAGGGCCCTTGAAATCATCTGGAGCCCTGAGGAGACGCAGCTGCCCTTCTCTGGAAAGTGGGCACCCCCAGCCTCTCTGCCTGACGCCATGGCTGGCACGCTGCTCAGAGGACACTATGGCTGGGACATCGCTAGAAACCACGAGGCCCTGTCAGTCTTGCTGTGCTTCAGTCTTGCCCCTGCGGGAAACTCTGAGCGGAGGAGCAGGGGCTCCCACCCAGGCCAGCGCCCCACCCCAGGAAAGGATGGAGACCAGAGGGGAGGGAGTCGGCCGGCGGCAGCTGCCCAGCCTGTAATGAATCGTCCCAAAGTTTGCTGCCTCATCTCAATAGCTTCGCTTCTGAAACAGGCTTGTGACAAAGGGTACATTGACGTCCTCCATGGGATGAGGAGGGTCGCTCACATGTGCAGGGGAGGCCCCTTTGGGGAGGCGGTGGGAGGCAGCAGCATGGACCCAGCCACGGAACAACATTCTCCCTGGAATCGGCCTGGTGGGTGTGGCTGGGCTGAAAGGGCTCAGACCCGGGTGTATGAGGTGATGGAAGACCTCCTTGGTTGGCTGAGCTGGGATGGGGGCCCCGGAGGGGCTGGGGCTGAGCCGGGGCAGGCAGAGTGCTCGGCTGTTCGGCGGAGGTTGTGAGATGCAGCTGGCCTTTGCTGGACACTCCTTTCTGCTGGGGTCCTCACAGTCAAGAGGCTCCCCAGGCCTCCTCAAGACCCCATCCCAGGTCGTCTGTACTTTTAGAGGTTGGGGTCTCTGTGCTGCCTGTTGGGGGGCCCTGTGGCTTCTGGCAAGCTGAGCAGCCTAGGGTGGAGGCCCCTAGAGCTCATGGTTCTGGATTTGATTAGGATTTTGTTTGTTCAAAAGTTACTAGGAACAGTCTTTTTTGTTGATTCAATTTAATATGCATACGTATGTGCCTATTTGGTTTTCTCCACCAGAAATCTGGCTCTGTGGAGCTGCGTTGGTTTGTGACCCCACCTTTAGGCCTGAGGTAATCCATGTATTTATTTATTTATTTATTTTTAATCCGTGTATTTAATCAGTGGACTCTTTATGAGCGTGGGGTGAGCCAAGCAGTGGTCACACATCTGTAGGCCCACGGGCTGCCCTCACTTGATGGCCTGCCTGTGCCCGGCCCTCTTGAATGTGAGAGAAGGATTGGACCAGAAACAGCCCCAAGGTGGACCTTGTTGAGCCCATAGGGACAAACACATCATGGCTTGATGTCGTGCCTGCCATGGTCTTCAGCCACACCATGTTATGGGACACCCTCCAAATGTCTGCTCACTGTCAGGCACAGTGTCCACAGTGGTTTGTCCCATGAGCCCTACAGGCTGTGTCATCAAAATATGTGTGTGTACGTGTGTGTATGCATGAGCATCTGTGTGTGCATGCCTTACCGAAATAGGTATTAAGTAAGAATCCTGACTCTGCCACTCACCTGTATGAGGTCAACAATGGTAACTCTATGGCAACTGACTTATCCTCTGCATACAGTACCTTTGTTTCCTTATCTGTGAAATGGCAATAATGGGAATAACTACTTCATTGGGTTGTTGTGAGGTTAATATGGCAAAACACTTCAGACAATATTTTGCACACAGTAGGCACTCAGTAAATGTGAGCTGCTACAACGACAATCACTGCCGTCATCTTAGAAGGTGTCTCAGATCCAGTTCCCCAGGAGCAAATGTTAAGATGTGGACTTCCCTGGTGGTCCAGTGGTTAACAATCCTCCTTGCAATGCAGGGGATATGGGTTCGATCCCTCAGGAGAACTAAGATCCCACATGCTTCAGGGCAACTGAGCCTGTGGGCTGCAACAAAGACCCAATACAGTAAAAAAAAAAAAAAAAAAAAAAGCTTTCTTTTTTATGGCTGAGTAGTATTCCATTGTGTATATGTTGATGTATGGCAGCAGAAATCAAACCAATATTGCAAAGCAATTATCCTTCAATTAAAAATCAGCAAATAAAAAAATAGGGGGTCACAGCTAAGTGATTTCCTAAAGCAATACCCCCCGGGGACCCAGGTGAGAGACTAAAGATTGCTGGACAGGAGGGGAAGAGGCCAGCAGGGGTGCAGAGGGTGCTCCTAGCCTGTCCCACAAAGGGGCTCTCAAGGTTGTCCCCTTAGAGGTAAGGGAGCTGGGACCTCAACTCCTGCACCCTCGTCACTGGCCAAGGGCCGTGTTGGGAGTAGAAACTTCCAGGTACTTCTGGCTCTGCAGGTGAAGCAGCTCCTGTAGCCTGGGGCAGTCACCCAGGGAAGAGTGCCCAGAGGTGGTCACAGAAGGTGAGGGAGGTGCCCAGACCCTGCACAGAGCCCTGGGGAAGCCTGGGGGTCCTGAAGGTGGTACCAACAGTGCCCTCCAGAGAGAGCCCTTGTGAGGAGCAAGTGCAGAGCAAGCGCTCAGGGCCTGTCCTCCCGCCGGCTCCTGCCCCAGCCTTTCCACCTCACCAGCCACAGGCGGCTTCTGGTCTAAGGCCAGGGCTACCTCAGCGGTCTGCGAGGCCCCGGCCAGGTTCAGAGCGTCATATATTTGTGTAGGACAGCGGCTCTGTCCATGATCAAGGAACCAGTGAGAAGAGCCTGCCTGCTTGGCTGCCCGAGCACCGTGGGAGGGAGGCAGCCCTGCCAGCCTCTGCCCCAGGATCTGCCCCAGGGCGCTGGTGTCAGGAAGGCGGGAGAAGCTGGGACAGTGTGACAGCCACACACATTTCCCCAGCCCCTCGTAGGCACATCTGCCACCTCTCTCCTGCCTCCTGCTCCACTCTGCCCCACCCTGGGCAGCCCTGAACCCCTCTGACGGGCCTGGCGGCAGCTGCCCAAGCCATAGCCTGTTAGTGTTGCCCTGGGTATCAGAGGGAATGTTAGAGAACACTGCAGGCCCTGCACACCTGGTGTGCAGACCCTCCCATAATGCTCCCATAGCCGGGGAGGCAGGAAGGAGAGGCAGGAAGACCACCTATTGGGGGTGACTCTAGGGGGCCCCACACTAAGGATAATAAGAATAACCTATTATCACCCACGATGTGTTGAGTCATCAGTGTGTTTCAGGTGGAACCCTTTCCAGGAACCATTTTATGCAAAACTCACCACGACTCCACAAGGTCGCTACTCCTAGGTCAGAGAGGTGGTTTCAGACCCAAACTCACATAAGTTCCTATCTGGTCTCCCTGCGCCTCTCTCGCCCCTCAGACATCGCCAGCACAGCAGCAGAGTAAGTCTAGCGGACACAGCCAGCCCACGGCTGTCCTCACGCTGAGCCCTGCGGCGGCTCCCACGCTTACTGGGAGCAAAAGCCCAGAGCTTCACATAGGCTTCCACACCTTGACCTGATCTGGCTTCCCGCTGCCCCCAACCTTCTCTCCTACCCCTCATGACCCCCCTCTAGCCCCACCAGCTGCCTCTGCTGTTCTTCAAACGGCCATGCAACCTCCAGCCTCAGAGACCTCGCACCGGCTGCTGCCTCTTCCCGGCAGGCTCCTCCCCAGCCCCGGTATGGCTCCCTCTCACTTACTTCTTGTCTCTGCTCCTGAGACGCCCAGCTTTCTCTATTCCCTTTGATCTTGTTGTTCAGTCGCTGAGTTGTGTTGACTCTTTGTGACCCCATGGACTGTATAGCATGCCAGGCTCCTCTGTCCTCCACTATCTCCTGGAGTTTGCTCAGATTGATGTCCATTGAGTCCCTTGACTCTGCTCTATCATCATTATTTTTGGTAGCTTTTTTGTACTGACTCTGTGCCTGTCTCCCTTCACTAAAATGTAAGCTCCATGGCAGCAGTGATTTTGCCTTCGGTTCACTGCTGGATCAGGTCCTCCATCAATGCCATTGATACTTGATAAATGCATGCAGAATGACTGAATGCCACCAAGACCTGAACTCAAAAGCCCTAAATGGCAGGCACCCTGGGGTTGGGGAGGTCTGCAGAGCCCTGGAGTATGGATTTTCTTGCAGCCAGAGGGAACATAGCATCTTCTGGAGAGTTTGACCCCAAGCACGTGCCTCGTGGCTTTGCGCAGCCTGCCTTGGGCTCTGCACAGCCTCCTGCTCTGGGCTGCTGTCCTTAACCAGTGCTGCCTGCTTCCTTCCTTTTTTTTTTTAAATTAACTTTTTGGCTGCACTGCACGGCAGGCATTCCGTATCTTAGTTCCAGAACCAGGAATTGAACCCATGCTCCCCTGCAGTGGTAGCGAAGAATCTTAACTGCAGGACCACTGGGAAAGTCCCCCCACTTCCTTCCTCTTAACTCTGAGGTCTAAGGGAAACACTGCCCTTTCTCTTTCAGCTGTGGATTCAAGTCCAAGTTCAGAGGAGCTCAGCAGACACCAAATTCCACTCCTATGGTTTCTTTCAAAAGACCTTCTGAATCCTCTGAAGCCTTTGTTCTGCAAAATAATATCTATCAAGCATCGTCTATGGGGCATGCATGCTAAGTCGATTCAGTCTTGTCCAACTCTTTGCAACCCATGAACTATATATAGCCTGCCAGGTTCCTCTGTCCATGGAATTTTCCAGGCAAGAATACTGGAGTGGTTTGCCATGCCCTCCTCCAGGGGATCTTCTGAACCCAGGCATCAAACCCATGTCTCTTATGTCTCCTACAGTGGCAAGTGGGTTCTTTACCACTAGCACCACCTGGGAAGTCGAGAGGAACCCAATCTCCAGCTCTCTCTGCCACTTTCGGTCCAACCTGACCCAGGAGGCCATACAATGCGTAGCTGAAGCATGAAGGGCTGGACTGCTGGGACAGGACCCAGAGAAATGTGGGAACAGGAGAGGGAGCCCTGAGAGATGGCCCCATCCCACCCTACTCCCTTGGATGAGAGGGATGATGTCTTGGAGCAGCTGGGTGGAGAGCAAGCCAGGTGCTTGGTTGGAGGGACGCCTGCCAGCCTGTGTCTTCTTCCTCAAGCCCAATTCTAAGAAAGACTTCTTCCCTCTCCAGCCCCGTCCCCAACCCCCAGCTGCTGACCGCCAGCTGCCCAAACACCCAGTGCCGGCCCAGGGTCTCTCTTCCAGGAGTTCCCTGGAGCCATGGCAGGGGTTTGCTTCCCCCCAGCCCACCAGTGTCCCCCCAGGGGAGAGGCAGGCTGCCTTTTCCTCTGCTTCAGAATCCAGGCCACAAGCTGCCACCTGCTCTTGCCCTGTGTGCATACAGTCTTCCTCATTCCAAGAACTCCGAGATGTTAGGCTTCCGCCCAGGTTTCTCCCTGTCTTTGCTGACTGCTGGTGATGAATCCTGGAAGGGGAAGAGAAATGAAGGCCTCCACCAGGCAAACAAACCGGTGTCATGAGTGTCTTGAGGAGGGACCCTGGGAAGGGCAGCTACTGGGCACAGGCGGACACACAGCACCCCAGGTCTGGTGGGCTCCATGTGGCAGGAGGCGGTGTCCGAGTCTCATCAGACCTCAAAGGGGCATTGACAGCCGACCACGAGGTTCCTCTCTGGGCTTCAGATTATTAGAAGGGCTCCTGAGTGGGTGGCAATGGGGTGGGACCCTTAGGACCTATTTCCTTAAGATTCCATGTACCCTGAGATTCACTGGCCTTGCGGATCTCCCCACACATTCTCTATCCCTCCCTGCAGAATGGAGTGGGCCCAGGAACAGGGGTCTCACCTTCAAAGCTGGGCTGGCACTCAGCAAGTTACTTCCGCTGGGGATCCCCCGGTCCCCTTGCCCCTCAGGCTCCGCTCTGCAGGGAGGGTGTGTTCAAGTTCCACAGGGAAGACCAACCAGCCCAGCAACTTCCAAAGCCCCAGCCCTAACTGGTGCACACGCCTTGAGCTGTTACTGTCTTCTTGACTGCTGGGCCCCCAGACCAAGATGACCTCAAGGGTAGGACCCATAGTGACTGGTCTGCGTCCCCAGGCCCATGAGTGAGAGGCACAGTGTACCTCCACCGCTTGCTAATTATGTGACTTCAGTCATGCAACTCTGCGTCTCTGTGCCTCAGTTTCCTCTTCTATAAAATGGGTAGAAGCATAGGCCTGAGTTAACTGGGATAACCCACATAAAGCACTTCAAACAGTGCCAGGCACCTAGCAGGTGCTCAATAAACATTACCTGTGTGTCCCTGACACTTCTTAGTGTTCCTTCCTGAGCTATGAAGGAGTCTGGGGTTGGGGCCAGCTAGGCTTTCTCCCCAAGATGACCTGATCCCTTAGGAAACATGAGAGGAGAAGGGGGCCCGCATTGCTGCCTCCAGGCCCCTGGAGGTTGTGGCCACTCTGGAAAGCCCCGACTCACCACACTGTTTGGATTGGGTTTCTATTCCCAACCCCGGTGAGAGGCCTGCTATTTATGGGCCCCCCATCCCACCCCCCAGGCAGCCAGACAGTGCGTGGGCTGAGGACCACAAGGCTGGCAGCCCGCTCCCCCACCCGACCCGGGTGCTCTGACCGGGGCACGTTTCACATGCTGGTCACCCTGCCGGCTGAGCAGTGCATTTCCCAGCTCCGTCTGGTCCCTCAGGAGAGGAGCGGAGATGGAGGGGGCGTGAAGTGTCTCCCACCTCTTCATCCCGCCCTCTGGCTTCCAGATGGTCTTCAAGAGGAGGTGGCTTCTTAGGGACGTGTATGATGGCACACGCCCCTTTCCATTTCCACCCTGACAACGACACATGCTTCATGTGGTGTCTGCTGTGGTGAAAATGAAGGCTCTGGGGCCAGACTGCCTGGATTCAACCCCCACTTTGGGTCCTCATTAGATGTGATCTTGACCTAGTGCACGAACTTCTTTGTGCCTCAGTCTCCTCACCTGTAAAATGGAGCTAGTGCTAGTACCTGCCTCCTAGGGTCATCATGAGGGTTAAAGGAATTGAAACAGGTCAAACGTTTAGCGCTGGTCTGGGCACACAGAAAGCTCTCACTTAGAGAGTAGCATTGACATACATGGGTTTCCCTGGTGGCTCAATGGTAAAGAATGCCCCTTCCAATGAAGGAGATGCAGGTTCAATACCTGGGTCAGGGAGATCCCCTAGAGAAGGGTACAGCAACCTACTTTAGTATTCTGGCCTGGAGAATCCCATGGACAGAGGAGCCTGCCAGGCTACAGTCGATAGGGATGCAAAGAGTCAGATATAACTGAAGCTACTGAGCACACACACATACTGACACGTATACACTACAATGTAAAACAGCACATGAGCTCAATTCTGCTCTGTGACGACCTAGAGGTGTGAGATGGGGGGAGTGGTAGAAAGGAGGCTCAAGACAGAGGAGGTATATGTATACCTACAGCTGATTCATGTTGTTGTTCCCAACACGACATTGTAAAGCAAGTATCCTGCAATTCAAAATAAATAAAAATAAAGGCCGGCTCTCAATTAAAGTCAGTATTCTTATTCCTGCAGGGTTTGGTGCAGGATGCCAACCCTGCCTTCTTCACCTGGCTCCTGTTCTCTGCCTAGGCAGGATGCCTGTCCCCTCTGCACAGATGGAGAGACTGAGCTCTAAAGGGGAAAAGTGACCTCTTCAAGATCACACAGCTGGGGTTGGCAGAACCCTCTTGAGACCCTTCCCAGCCCACTGGCTGTCTCTTGATCTGTAACCACTAGAGCACCCCCCCGACCCCTCACCAAAGTGATAAGGAGTCCTGCTGGTCAACCCTAGCAAGGGAAGGTGAGGGCCTGGACAGGTGTGCGTGCAGCAGGAGCCAGGCTGATCCTGTCCCCAGGGCCTGCCTGCCCCTTGGCCGGTGCCTCCAGCCAGCCCACTCAGGACAGGGGCTATTTTTAGCAGATGCTGTTTGCCCAGCGGCAGGAGTATTTGCGAAGGGTCAGTCCAGTGGCGTCCCTTGGCTTTCAACTAGAAACAGCTCTCGGATGTACAGTCTATTGGCTGAGAGCATGAGGCTTTGGCGAGCCTTTTCTCTTTACAGAATGTGGCTGTTTCTCCTTCCTGTCCACCCTGTTGCCAAGCCCACAGCTTCTGTTCCTGGCTCCCTGCCGCCAAGATGGTGACAGCCTTCCCAGGTCTGATGGGATGAGCAAATTGGGCAAAGTGTGGTTTCCTGGCCTTGACCGGGCATCTCCCCTCTGCTAATAAACCTGTGGCTAACCAGCCGTGGCCTCGTGCTCCATGGGTTAGAGCACCACGCCAGCGAGGCCAAGGTCAGGCTCTACGTGGGCCGGCGGCTGGCTTCACGGGGAGGTGCGCACTGCCCCACGCCTCAGCCTGCGGCCCTTGCCGGTGCAGCTGGGATGGTGGGGTCAGGCCTGGGGGCAGCTGTGAGCCAGGTAGAGTGTGGGCATCTCCGAGTCCCCAGCCCCTGGAAGGGCCTCATTGAGCTGGTCCACCTGCTGTCACTGGGCAAGGTATGGAGTGGGGCGCTTTCCTCCGTGAAGGTTGGCACGTATGTTTTGTGGGACTGGAGGCTGAGAATGTGCCAGGCAGACGGGCACACGGTGGCTGAGTCAGTTTTCTACATCAGCTGGAGAGGCCCTGGAGAGGGGGCAGAGCGTGGGGATTAAGAGAACAGACCACGGGGTTCAAACCCCGACAGGACACTTGGCCGTGGTGCACCACACTATGCCTCAGTGTCCCCATCGGTAACAGGGGAATGAACAGAGGTGTCTCGTGAGGATGAAGTGACCTAAGGCTTGGAAGCACTTAGAGCTATAGCTGCTTCATGAGTGTTAGCTCTTGTTATCTTGGCAGCGCCTCGACTGGGCTTCCCTGGTGGCTCAGCTGATGAAGAATCCGCCTGCAATGCGGGAGACCTGGGTTCAACCCCTGGGTTAGGAAGATCCCCTGGAGAAGGGAATGGCTACCCTCTGCAGTATTCCAGCCTGGGAAATTCCATGGACAGAGGAGCCCGGTGGGCTACAGTCTATGGGGTCACAAAGAGTCAGACCCCACTGAGTAACTAACACTGTTGCTTACTTTTCACCTCAACTCTCAACACCAGTTCCATGGACCCTGTACCCCTCATCTGGCCCTCAGGCCCCCCAATCCCACTCCTTCCCTTTTACAAGCAAGCTTTCACCAGCCCCATGGCCCTCAAGCTGTTGAAGCGCAGGCACATGGGCTGCCCCTCCTCAGTCCTCTGGGAGGGCTCAGGCGGTCCTGCCCCGTGCCCTGCCAGAGAGAAGCCTAGAGTGTGGGGAGCAGGCTGGCACCAGGCAGGTGCCCTGCTCTGCTCCTGCGGCTCCCAGGAGGGCGTGGCCCCTGAGCTCAGGCCTATAAATAAGGTATCTGGGAGGAACGGCTTTAATTTGCACTTTACCTATTGGTGTTTACTTTGCTATTTCCAATATGGTAATTTAATTCTGTAGGGCGCCTGGCTGGGGGTGGGGGGGCACCTGGGTCGTGCGGTTCCCTGACCGCACCAGGAGTGACTCCGGGTCCCTGTGCAGCTCGGGACACAGATGCCCCAGGGACAGCCACGGTCTGTGGAGGCCCCGGGTGTGGCCATGGAGTGGAGGGGCTTGTCGGGACATCGAGACCCCGTTGTACCTAGACGCACAGTCCTCCGGTCTCTGTTCGGCTCCTCCTCCGGACAGCAGTGTCAGCATCTCTCTTCCCTCCTGCCCACCTTCACATCTCTTCCCACCTGAGGTCAAGGCCTCCCTCTCTGCTGAGAGGACCACCTTCTTACCCCCATCGGGAGCTCTCTCCAGAGTTCTCTCATAGATGTGTGGCTAATTATGGGACAGTCTGTAAGATTTTTCTCCACCTCAACAGTTTGCTGTTTTAAATTTTTGTATTTTGTCTCTGCTATGAGACTGTGGGCTCCCTGAGGGCAGGGCTGTGTCTCTCCCAGACTTGGGCTCCCTGAGGGAAGGGACTGTGCTTTTCCCTCAGATTAGGGGTCTTAAAGGCCTTGGTCCAGCTGTACTCCCTCTGGTCAGGGTTGGCCACTGCGGCCACCAACAGTGCATTTGCCCTTCCCCTCACTGGCCAGAAGGACCACACCAAGACTTGTGGGCCGTGGGCGCCTTTGCCTCTGTGGGTCCTTTCCTCCATAAACTTGACTGGAACGAAGACAACTTCATTGGAATAAAGACAAACCTGTTTGTGTTATATATGAAAACCTTTTTTTTTGGCTTAAAAGATCATCTTTTTCCTTTTGACCTTAAAAGTAAACATATTCATGGGCCCTAAGCAGTTATATTCCAAGTTCTTGAAAAAAAAAAAAAAAGAAACAAGAACCAAAACTATACTTGAAGAAAAAAATTTCATAAATAATTTTTAAAGCCTGAATATGCAGATAAAAAGGGTTCATGATATTTCAGAAAGAATTGATCAAAATACAAGCTCTATGGAGATCTTAGAATAATTTTTTTAAAATACTGGCAAACACAAAAAAAGAAAACTACAGGCCAATATCACTGATGAACATAGATGCAAAAATCCTTAACAAAATTCTAGCAAACAGAATCCAACAACATATTAAAAAAATCATACATCATGACCAAGTGGGCTTTATCCCAGGAATGCAAGGATTCTTTAATATCCGCAAATCAATCAATGTAATACACCACATTAACAAATTGAAAGATAAAAACCATATGATTATCTCAATAGATGCAGAAAAAGCCTTTGATAAAATTCAACATCCATTTATGATTAAAACTCTCCAGAAAGCAGGAATAGAAGGAACATACCTCAACATAATAAAAGCTATATATGACAAACCCACAGCAAGCATCACCCTCAATGGTGAAAAACTGAAAGCATTTCCCCTGAAATCAGGAACAAGACAAGGGTGCCCACTCTCACCACTACTATTCAACATAGTTTTGGAAGTTTTGGCCACAGCAATCAGAGCAGAAAAAGAAGTAAAAGGAATCCAGATAGGAAAAGAAGAAGTGAAACTCTCGCTGTTTGCAGATGACATGATCCTCTACATAGAAAATCCTAAAGACTCTACCAGAAAATTACTAGAGATAATCAACGAATACAGTAAAGTTGCAGGATATAAAATTAACACATAGAAATCTCTTGCATTCCTATACACTAACAATGAGAAAACAGAAAGAGAAATTAAGGAAACAATACCATTCACCATTGCAACAAAAAGAATAAAATACTTAGGAGTATATCTACCTAAAGAAACAAAAGACCTATACATAGAAAACTATAAAACACTGATGAAAGAAATCAAAGAGGACACAAACAGATGGAGAAATATACCGTGTTCATGGATTGGAAGAATCAATATTGTCAAAATGGCTATACTACCCAAAGCGATCTACAGATTCAATGCAATCCCTATCAAACTACCAACGATATTTTTCACAGAACTAGAACGAATAATTTCACAATTTGTATGGAAATACAAAAAACCTCGAATAGCCAAAGTAATCCTGAGAAAGAAGAATGGAACTGGAGGAATCAATCTGCCTGACTTCAGACTATACTACAAAGCCACAGTCATCAAGACAGTATGGTACTGGCACAAAGACAGAAATATAGATCAATGGAACAGAATAGAAAGCCCAGAGATAAATCCACGAACCTATGGTCACCTTATCTTTGACAAAGGAGGCAAGGATATACAATGGAAAAAAGACAACCTCTTTAACAAGTGGTGCTGGGAAAACTGGTCAACCACCTGTAAAAGAATGAAACTAGAACACTTTCTAACACCATACACAAAAATAAACTCAAGATGGATTAAAGATCTAAATGTAAGACCAGAAACTATAAAACTCCTAGAGGAGAACATAGGCAAAACACTCTCCGACATAAATTACAGCAGGATCCTCTATGACCCACATCCCAGAATTTTAGAAATAAAAGCAAAAATAAACAAATGGGACCTAATGAAACTTAAAAGCTTTTGCACAACAAAGGAAACTATAAGCAAGGTGAAAAGACAGCCCTCAGATTGGGAGAAAATAATAGCAAACGAAGCAACAGACAAAGGATTAATCTCAAAAATATACAAGCAACTCCTCCAGCTCAACTCCAGAAAAATAAATGACCCAATCAAAAAATGGGCCAAAGAACTGAACAGACATTTCTCCAAGGAAGACATACAGATGGCTAACAAACACATGAAAAGATGCTCAACATCACTCATTATCAGAGAAATGCAAATCAAAACCACAATGAGGTACCATTACACACCAGTCAGGATGGCTGCTATCCAAAAGTCTACAAGCAATAAATGCTGGAGAGGGTGTGGAGAAAAGGGAACCCTCTTACACTGTTGGTGGGAATGCAAATTAGTACAGCCACTATGGAAAACAGTGTGGAGATTTCTTAAAAAGCTGGAAATAGAACTGCCATATGACCCAGCAATCCCACTTCTGGGCATACACACCGAGGAAACCAGATCTGAAAGAGACACGTGCACCCCAATGTTCATCGCAGCACTGTTTATAATAGCCAGGACATGGAAGCAACCTAGATGCCCATCAGCAGACGAATGGATGAGGAAGCTGTGGTACATATACACCATGGAATATTACTCAGCCATTAAAAAGAATTCATTTGAATCAGTTCTAATGAGATGGACGAAACTGGAGCCCATTATACAGAGCGAAGTAAGCCAGAAAGATAAAGACCATTACAGTATACTAACACATATATATGGAATTTAGAAAGATGGTAACGATAACCCTATGTGCAAAACAGAAAAAGAGACTCCTATATATAGAACAGACTTGTGGACTCTGGGAGAAGGCGAGGGTGGGATGTTTCAAGAGAACAGCATTGAAACACATATATTATCTAGGGTGAAACAGTTCACCAGCCCAGGTTGGGTGCATGAGACAAGTGCTCGGGCCTGGTGCACTGGGAAGACCCAGAGGGATTGGGTGGAGAGGGAGGTGGGAGGGGGGACCGGGATGCGGAATACATGTAAAAAAAAAAAAAAAAAAAAGATACAGTATGGTTGTGATAAAAAAATAAATAAATTAATTAATTAATTAAAAAAAAATAAAAAAAAATATGTTTACTAAAAAAAAAAATAAAAAAAAAAAAAATACTGGCAAAAAGAAAAATTCCTATAAGCCTTTCAGACAGAGAAAATTACTTTAAAAGAAGCAATAAATTTGGTCTCTGGAAAAAAAAAAATCTTAGGGACCAGTCCTGTCCCAGCTGTGCCTGGTGGATGCACTTGGCCTGGGCGGAGGGACCAGCATGGGGCCCGACCATCTCGGGCAGGGATACCTTTCCCATCCCTTAGCTTCTACAAACCTCGGGAAGTCCCCATGAGTCAGGGAGGGCCAGAATTCCTATCCCACCTCATCAGCACGGCCACGGCTACTTCCACTGGCTGTAGCGCCACAGGGACCCCCCTCGGTGGCGTGGTGCTTCGTGCCAGGTGCTGGGCTGAGCTCACGTCACCCTTGTCTTATCTAATCCTCACAGCCATCCCACGAGGCAGGCACTGTGATTATCTCCCATTTCACAGATAAGGAAAATGAGGCTCAGAGGGGAGAAGTGACGGGTTCAAGGTCACCTAGCCTGTCAGTGACAGGGAGGGAATGGAGGAACCAGAAGTCTGCCTTCAGAAGTTCTAGGTCTTTCCGCTCCAGAGATGGTGAAGGGTCAGGCCAGGCATAGGTCAGGGTCACCACAGAGATTGCTTCTGACATCTCCAGGCCCGTTAGAAAGGAGGAGGCAAGTATCTGCCCTGGAATTACCAGCCTTCCGCACCCCACCTCTCCCCTGGCTTCCAGCCCAGGGCTCTCAGCACTGGACTGGAGCTGCTAGCCTTGATTCTGTGGTACAAGAGGGCAGTATTCTTTAGGAGGTGTCCTCAGCCTTCCCAGCTCCAGGTCTGCTAGCTTGCTGGCCTCATCCCTGCCCTTCCGGCCACCTGGTCCCAGGGGCTGCCTGGAAGTCCCCTCTGGGTGGGCAGCCGTGGGGCCCAGAGGGCAGAGGTAACCTCATGGTGTGGAGGGTGAGGAGCTCAGACTGGGGGTCGGGTCTGGAGGGACCCTGGTCAGTGATGGCATGGGGGTGCTCAGGGTTCCGCCCCGAGCTGGGGACCCCTTCTCCTGCTCTACTGGCCCATCTCTCCATCACTAAAGTTGTTTTCTTTTTTTCTTATCTTCCCATTTTGCTCTTCATTTCTTGGCCTGTCTTTTCAAAACTCCATCTCTGCTTTCTTTTTGACTCATCAATCTCTTCGTCTTCTGTCTCTGCCCCGTTCCTCTCTCCCTGCTCCCTTCCCCTCCTCCTGCCACCTCCACATCTCCTCCCTCCACTTCTCACCTCCGCCTGTGTCTGGTAG